TCTCCCCAGCTAGAGTGGATGCAAAGTCAGAAAGGGCTTATGCAGAAGAGGACAGGGTCTACTCAAGTCACGCACATTCCTCCTGAGCCCAGGAGTTCTAGCTTACAAGCTGAAGAGGCGACTGGGATGCAGCTGCACAGGTGTTGGTGTCCTGGTCTCCAAGGTGGGCCTGCCCCATGCATTTCCATCAGCTGAGTGATTCTTACAGGTCTCGGCTTACAAACCCAGAGAGCAGGGGAGACTGACAGCCCCTGGTCCTTTAGCATATTATCCAGCATTCATGCCAAAGAAGTGTACAAGCAAATATGCAATCACCAACACACCTCCCTTTCTATTAGAGTCTGACAAGATGTAGACTCCTGACTCAAGAAAAATGAGATTTCCTCTAAAGAGTATGTGAATAACATAAGAAAGTCATCTCATCACCCACATTAAGGGCCCCAGGGCCTCAGAGTTTAGGCTGCATTTAAAAAGCTGGAGGAAGACGCTAAGGAAGGTAATTAAATTCCTGAGTCAGGAAGACAATGGTGATTATTTTTTGGATGACTAGAGGAACAAAAGGTTGTCGTTTTAGATAAACAAATGACAAAAAGAGCACATTTGAGATGCCAGATTTGTCAAGTAGAGCCCTAGGGCTTGGGGTTCTCTGAAAGGACAAACATCTTGGAATGTTTATATCTCAGGCTTCTGAATGTGAGTCAGACTAGCTTTGGAGTCTGGTACCCTCAGTCTTTAAACATTACTGCCCAACCTCACATTATGGGACTGGAAGAACCTCCAGGGCTCACTACATTCAGGGGCTTCAAACTGTGTTTAGTCAATTTCTAGATTAAAGAGAAAGAAACTGAACTCCTGACAATAACAATGGCTGCTAATATTCCATGAGAGTATATGTGTACCAAGCACTGTTTTTTTAACTGCTTCATGTTCATCACTTACTTCTCAAAACCATCCTAACAAGGTGGGTGCTATTATCATCAAACCTACTTTGGAGATGAGGAAACTGGATCTGGCTGACTTTAAACATCAAGCTCAGGGTCATGTAACCAGAAGCAGCAGACTTAGGACTGGAAGCCTGCAGTGGTTTGACTCAAGAGCCCACCGCTAACCACACTTAGCTTACACCACTAAATGAAGTCATCATTTGGTAAAGTTTATTCTGCAGTCTTTGATTGTATATGGGAGCAAATATTCCCTTAAAGGGTGAAGAGAATATTCCAGAGATAAAAAGAATGAAAGGAATCGAACTCAGAACCACTGTCCTCATACTTATATAAAATATGAAATAAAATAGTCATGTCTGTAAAATGATCGATATTCTTAGTGAAACAGCCTACAGAATTGTGTGACTTTCTGTGAAAATCCATGTGTGATCCAGGCTTCCTCCTCCAGACCAGACAGAATCAATACTCTCTGGATCGTTGACTGAATCAATATCAACTTAAATTGTTGAAGAGACTGTTCTAGTTTCCAAATTTGTTCCTCTAATTGCTTAATATATGTTTGATAACTGAATAAGTGAATGAGTCTATCTTTCCTTGTTTCTTCCTTAGTCTTACTATCTTCTTTCTATACTTACTGCCCATTTCCTCGAGGGAAACAGAGCTCATACACAGTCACGGCACTGGCCAAAATATAATGGCCTGATGTGAAATGCAAACTTGTCTGGTCTTCAGGTTTCTCCACTAATCCCAGCTCTTCACCTGAACCCTCTCTACCCCAAAACCAACACTTGCACTTGCCAGTTCTTTTCCTTGGAATTTTGGAATGTTCTCCCTTACTCTTGTTACTGATATGTAAATCTTCAGAACCAGAAGGGAACTTGGGACTGGAAGTTCCCAAAGCTGGAAAACTCTTCAGAATATCCCTGACCCACCATCAACAAAGCCCTGTTTTAAAAACGATCTTTCATTTACAGCTTAAAGTTATAAAAAACTTACCTCCGTTAAAAAAATCTTCCCTCATTAATTAATAAATTCATTCATCCATTCACTCATCTTTGTTTATCAGATGTATTACGTGTCTGTTATATGCCAGGAAATGTACAAGGCTCCGGAGGAAATGAAGATGAATAAGCCTTAGTCCCTACTCACTGACCTTTGGAATCTAATAAACTGAGTCTGCTGAAGAACAGATATGTGAGCAATATTACCATGGTTCTGTAAGATACTCCACCAGTGTGTGTATCAATTGCAATGACGAGACAGAAAAGCAGATGATGATCCCTCTCAGAAATTCTATTCAGAAGGAAGATTTCACAGAAGCAGCACTATGAAAAGCTTAAAGATCAGTCTGGAATATTTAGAAATGAGGTGGGGATAGAGCCTGGGAATCTCAAGCTTACTACACATTGATAATTTATCCATATCACATGATTTCAGGATACTGAATAATGTGTACTCACCAGAAGGGTATTTCGTATATTGACTGTGGGTAGGTGAACTACTCCTTTCAGAAAGCAATTTGGTAAAATAAATCAAGAACCATACAATGGCCATATGTCAGATATAGTAATTACACCTGTGGAAGTCTATTGTGAGGAAATAATACTACATGTGCAAAAGATTATATGCATAAAAATAGTATACATTAGATCATTAAAATAGGGGAAGAATTGGAAAATGAGCCTCTAATGCACATCATTGAAAGACAGGTAAATAAACTATGGTACATTTATGAGAGGGATTATTTACTATGCAGCAATTCATTGAATATTATATGACAACTTGGAATACTTATTCATAGAATGTTAAATGAAAAAAGAAAAGCAAATGTGTAGAATCACTTTATTTTTTAAATCATACATATAACAAAAAAGGGTTTATGAAATGGCACTAAAATTCTAACAAATTTGGACTTGTATAAGGGAAGTTTGAGTGGGGAGATGTTCCCTTCTTTTTTCTATTTTCAAACTTTCTGCTATATGATTGTTTCATTCCTTTATAACCTGTAAGTAGGGTGTGTGTGTATTTATGTGTATGTGTGTGTATGTGTGGGTGGGTATATGTGTGTTTAATCTATAGTATAAATTTTACTCTCTATAATCTTGGTGTGAATTTCTTCCAGAAGTCACCACATCTAGTTCTTGTATTTTCCCTCTTCTCATTAATTTGTAAGTGCTCAAGTTTGAACAGAGTGGTTGTCTATTCAATGATACAATAGCTGACAAAGTGGAGCATATCTTCCTACAGTCCACCTTCCTAGGCTCTCAAGGCCCTTAAGAGAAACAACAATACTTGACACTTAACACAATTTCTATATGTGCTAGACATTCTTCTAAGCACTTCACAGATATTAATTCACTAAAAAGAGCAATCCCATGAGGTAAATATTATTGTTATTATTATTATTTTTTTTACCACTAAAACAAATCGAGACACATAAAGCTTAGCCACTTACCCAAAGCTGTCCAGCTAGTTGGTGACAGAGTCAGAATTTGAACCCAGGGACTATGGCTCAAGGGTTCAGCTCTTAATCACTCAAAAGAGGAAGCTTGAAATAGCCAGCTATCTGGACAAACAGGCATGCAAAACCTACACAGATTATTGGCTGGTAGGTGTAAGAGGCTAAAATTGGAGAGTGGAAGTTAAAAGACAGAGCTCAAGGATTTCTAATGTAAACCCTTTGCCAAATGGAAGCCTCAGTCTCTGGCAGCAATTTCTTTCTGAGAGGATGGCAAGCACAGAATGGCATCTGAAATACGAGTCATCATCTCTGTGTAAATATCTTATTGGAGAGGGATTAGAGGTAGCACTTAGCTAAAGGTGAAAAGCATAAGGAAGCTTTCTGTTTACATAAACTGGGTCTTGGTATTTTCTTTGCCTATTGTTCCTGAAGCAGACATAACCATTGTTACTTCTCCTATGAGTTTATTTAGAATACAAAGCTCAAGCTTTGCCTGGAATTTTAGCTCCTCAGGGATGGAATAGACCTTTTGTGGCCATCTAATCTAGACCCTGTCCATCTCTCTACCCTTAACATACATACACGATATTCTTACAAACAGAAGAGAATAAATATCCATTAGAAAGAATGAGTGAGGACCTGGTACACAGAGACGCTTTGGTGGCTGCCTATTAAAGTGACTGACTAAAGGAAGCAGGAGTCATTATGGAAATACAATGATAATAAGTACTGAGTGATTCTCAGCTGGATCTGATTAATGTTTCTCCAACACTCTAGACTGAGTAAACGTTTAGATAATACGTCTGACCTTTGGTTTTATGTTTTTAATTCATTAGTTCCGAATCTTGGAAAGAGGTTTCTCAAATATCTACCTCAATAAAAAATCAGGATTATTCACAAGTAGCTAAGAGTTTGAAGGTCTAAGATGGTATACTTCTCATAATGGAAAACTCATGGCTTCTGAATCACATGTTAAACAATTGTGTTCTATCAGCCTGTACTACATGAGCTCCTGCTTTAAAAAGTCTTATTCGAGAATGACCAGAGGCTCTTTAACTAGAAATCTCTCTCTCACCCTCTACACAAAGCATCCCCAACTTTTTAAAGAGAAAAGCTGACATTTTACCCAGCTCTACCGGATCAGAGTAGGGAACTCTCCTATATTCTGCATGTCAAAGGTGTATACACCCTTGTCCCAAGTGTCATAGGACGACTTTACTCTTCCTGAATGGAAACTCTATTCTTAAATGTCAGACTTCGCTATTTCACTTTCAGCTTTATCAATGATAGAAACCATGGGAAGGGACCTGGGAGACCAAATTTCTCATTTCATAGGTGAAAAGAAGAAACCCAAGGAGAAGAGGGCATCATCCTAATATCTACTGGTGATAAGAGCTGCTCCTGGTTCTCATTCCAGGACCCTTTCTGCCTCACCCTCCTCAATTTTCATGTGACACTAAAAGTGACATCGCGTACCCATGAAGCCCAGGAAAGAGCAGAGGCTGCACCCGTTATTTCTCTAACCCCCTCCCTCACTCCTCTCCTAGACTCCTTGTCTAAATCTGCCCCAGCAGAAGAAGAGCATGAGATCTTACTCATTTCCATGTACTCTGGAGTCAGCCCAGTGTATGGTTCTAAGCTGTAGTCTAGGTCCCACTGCTCTGGATGCTTTGAATGGGCCGAGTCAGTTTCTCCAGGTTCCGTCTCATCTTTCAGCTTCCGAAATAGTTTCTTTAGCTTCCTGAAAAAGAAATGGACCAGTCACCAAAAGCCTCTAGAGGATAGAGTAAGCTATGCAGATAGAAAGGAGAAACAAACTAAATTTTGACATTGAAGTTATCTCTGATCCAAGAACACACAGAAGGGTACTAAGAAGACCAACTTTCTCTTAAAGACAACCTAAGGAAGTCCTTTATCAGGATAATAAAAGGCACCCCCAACAAAAGATCAAGTTCCTTCAGATCCAAAGACACTGAATTCTTCTTGCTTTTTGATAAGCAGCCCTTTCTGCCAAATACTGAGACAGTCCTATTGTCTAATAGGTGATATATCCATCCTCTCCATGGGGAAGAGAGGGTGTCCAGAAAATGGAAAGATGCTCTCCTCCAAGCTCAAACATTTTCAGGTCTTAAAAACATAAACAGCATCATCTTTTCATTAAAGCCAAGCTAAAGAGTGTCCAGCACTGCCATGGGTTGAAATCAATCCCCTCCTGCCCAATTCATGTGTTGAAGCCCTAGCACCTAATGTGACTATATTTGGAGACAGGGCTTTCAGGAGGTAATTAAACTTAAATGAGGTCATAAAGGTAGGGCCCTAAATCAATAGAATTGATAGCCTTAAAGAAATAAAAAGGCAGTGATCTCTATCCCTCTCTTTCCATCATGTCAGGATATAGTAAGGAGGCCATCAGTCATTTGCAAGCCAGGATGAAGGCCCTTAACAGAAACCAAACACTGCCAGTACATGATCTTGGGCTTTTCCAGCCTCTAGAACTGTGAGAAAATAAATTTTAGTTGTTTAAGCCACCTAGTCTGTGGTATTTTATTATGGCAGTCCAAGGAGACTAAGTCAACCAAATGGTCTAGAATGATAAGACGACGATGGTCCAGCCTCTCGGGATTGGTACGAGGATTAAGTGAAACGGTGTTTACACAATCCTCAGCACAATTTCTGGACATGGTAAGTATTCAATAGAGGATAGTTATTATTATTTTAATATTAAATGCTAAAATATACAGAGGGTATAGTCTTTTCATACTTCCCATTGGTACACAATATAGAGAATGAAATTAGGTGAAAGAGCAAAATGTCAATTCTGCTAATCATCCTAAAAGAGATTTTCTAGGAGATAGTCTGGAAGAGAAGTAAGAGCAGAACAGTCAGAATCATAAACTTGACGAGTTTAAAGCGATTTTGAAGTCTATGCTCCATCTAAACGCAGGAAACTACCTCCGCCCTCCACACCCCTCACACAAGGTCATCTAACCCCTGTGTATCTATCTATTTTAGACCATCACTCCTGTTAACTTTAGGCATCTCATTCTATTGTTAGAAAGTGCTGCTGACAGTTCATGGAAATCTAATCATTCAAAATAACGTTGTGATCAATGTCTGTTGAATATCATTTGCCATCTATAAGATGTAGTACAGTGTAGTAGGTAAAGTTTGATCTTTGATGTCAGAATATAGTTGTTTAAAACCTAGTTTCACAACTCACCAACTATAGGTTCTTGGGCAAGTTATTAAAAATTCCATAAGCTTTAGTTTCTTATTGATGAGACTATATTAACTAACCCTTAGAGTCAGTGAAAGGAGATAATCTATGTAATATGCTTCACTTACGGCTTGGTACATGCTAACAGTTCAATATATATATCTATCATTGTCCTATCATCATCATAATCATTAAAGAAGGATTTAAAGAATGAGTTGAGATCCACAGAAGCAGCAGTAAAACATTTCATAATAAAAAAGTAAAAATTTTGATATAATAAGAAATTGAGAAAAACTCTAAAGATAAGGCCTGAAGATTCTGAAGCCAAATAGTGTGGACTGCCTGAAATCTTATCTATTGAGTCAGGACAGAAGGGAAGGATAAAGAAAAAATAAAAAATAAAAAAAGAAGAGAAAAAAGGGGAGGAAGGGAGGGAAAGAAGGGAGGGAAGGAAGGGGAGGTCTACAACCAGAACTCAAACTGAGACTTTTCCTCCAGATACCAGTAATCAGAAATCTCAGCCAAATCTTTAGTAAAGAATAATTAGTGGTTTTAATTAAACATGGAAAATTGAACGCATGCATATATCTCTATCCACTTCTGAAATCCTATTAAAATGACATTGAATGAATTAAAAAATGTATAAAGCCACAAGGTTAAAGAAAATAGTCATGAATACAATAGTGAATGAGAGATGTAATGAGTATCTTAGAAGATGAATAGTGGGTGAAGGAGTTAGTAAAGCTATGATGGTTGAACACCAAGTGCTTACAGTGAAAGATAGGAGATAAAAGCAAGTCAACTCATGCTTCAAAATCTCAGGAAGGCTCAGGAATTGCAGACACCAGGTATCACCAAAGGCCATAGGTAGCAACTGGTCAATGAACTGTTTAAGGAAGAGTAGACCCTAATGTGCCTTTTCGCTCATATTGCCCAGGTAACTACCACTTCCTAACACCGGCAGGAGCAGAATGTTTATTTTGAGGAGAAAATTACCCAGAAAAACTCTAGATCTGAAATAAACCAAAGAAAATGATAGAAAGTTAAAAATCAATAAACTCTCAGAAAAAAAGAGGTACAAAAGACAAATAAATAGACAACGGGAAAGAAAAGAAAATTAATCAATCTAGGAACTACAACGTTTAATCAGGAAAAGACAAAAAAACAGTGGGAACAAAAATACAAAAGAAATATGGGGATATGTCCCAGAAGTGAAGGACGTACATCTTCTAATCTGAAGGAACTACTTAGCATAATGATGAAAAAAGAAGGATTTCCACCAAATCACATCACCATGAGATTTCAGAACTCTAAGAATGATGAAAAGCTTCCAGGTCCGGAGGGACAAACATAGATTCTCTAAAAATTATTTGGAACCAAAAAGATATTAGAATTCTCAACATCAGTCCTTGACACTAGAAAACTTTAGGGAAATGTATTATCATTGAAGAGGCAAATGATTTTAGCATAGGATTCTATACCCAGCCAAAGTATACATCAAGTGCAAAGGCAGATAAAGACATTTTTCACACATGCGAGGTTTCAAAAAATATATATATTCTTCTTTAAATCCATTCTAATGAAGTTCTCATAGGATGAATTTCACCAACCAAGGATATAAAGCAATAAAGAAAACAAAATGTAATACGGCAAACATGGAATCTAGCAGAAAAAGGTGACACAGGATCAAACTTAGATTGATACCTGTAGAAAAGCCTTAGTGAACAGTTTTTGTCTGAACAGGAGAATAGAGGGTTCCTAGAGGATGGTCTCCAAGAAAAAATAAATGTGACCAATGAGACATCTGATGTATTTAATGAGGTTGTCTAGCTGGAAAAGTGGACACGTAAACAACTGTTACCTATAATGTGTAATAAGGATTATAAAGGAGAAGTTCAGGCAATTATAAGAACATAAAACAAAGAAACCTGGCCTAAGGCAGAGGATGTTTTCCCTGAGGAAGAGATGTGTAAATCAACTAAATGATGAAAGACAATAGAAGCAGCATGGGAAGAGGGAGAGTGGTGTGATGGGTGAAGGTATGTTTTAGGCACAGGAAATTCTTTGTGCAACAGCCAGAGGCAAATGTGAGAATGGCTCACAGAAGGGACTGAAAGGAGTTCAAAATGCTAGGAACATAGAGCAGAAGAGAGAGAGTGACAAAAGATAAGACTTAAAAGATAGTGCAAGTTCATGACATCCATGGCCTTGTAAGGCATGTTATGCAATGGTTCAAGTGAGAGATTACAGTAGCAGTGTCTGGGACGATTGCAATGGATGTAAAGAGAAGTAGATTAAGACATGCCTAGGAGGTAGGGTTAAAAAGCTGGTGGTAAATTATATGTGGAAAGAGGAGGAGAATGAAGAACAAGGGTCTTTAGGCATGTGTATGGATGGTGGTACGGTTTGCTGAGATAGTGAACACTAGAGAAAAGGTAGTTTTGATGAGGAGGAAGTGTTGAGATAGAGGATTCCATGAGACAAACAAGTAGGGATGTCTAGTGAGCAATTTTATATATGGGTCTAGAGCTCTGAAAACAGGTCCGGGTTGGAGCTCAAGATCTGAGAGTCATCATGGAGAGAACAACTGAAACCCTACAATGAGCACCACATGTGGATGGAGCAGAGTGGAAAACATATCAACAGTTAAGGGATGGATGCAGGGAAAGAAAGCTTCAAAGGGCAAGGAAGGGGCACACAGGAACAGAAGACCAACTGTAAGACCATGCGGCAAAGAAGGTGAGGGCAGTAGAAGAGCTTCCGGAAGGACTCTGTGTTCAGCAGTACAGCACACTGCGGGTAGGTCGAAAATGATAAGGGCAAAAAGTACCCCACAAACAATTCTTATGAACCCCTCCTTCCCAGAAGTTTCCCTACTGCACATCTCAGTGACCATTTTAAAAGATTAATGAGGAAAGTCCCTCAAGAGCAGGATTTAACAGGAATCCTGTAAGTTGTATAACATACAGATGGGCCTTTTGGAAAACTTCAGATTATGATTCCGACCGTATGATGCACTTGCTCGTTAAAATAACTCCTTTGATGTTACCCCCTTATCCTTTTCATCTGCAATTTTTCCGTCCCTTTTTAATGACAAGTCTGAGAAACTCTGTCGGGAAAGCTCAGAGCCTTTCCTCTGCTTGTGCCCCATGGGCTCACCATGGGGAGTGTCTGTCACACCTGGGGCCTCCTGCTGGCAGGAATCTGGGCCCCAGGCTGTCCTCCACTGACCCCGGATCGACAGCTGCCAGCCTCATTAAAGAAGGCAGAACCAAGCCCTAAATGGGCCAAAGAAGACAAACACATCAACCTTTGAGCTATGTATTCCTTTTCACGACACCTGACAAGGTTCACATTTGTTCCTTAAACTTCGAATTCATGGCCAGATTCCACTGTATTTGAGGAGAACGCTGACCTCCTTTGCCTGTGACGGCTTTAAAGAGAGACTGTTTTATGTCTTAAAATGTAATATTTACCACATTTACCAAAAAAAGTGAAAAGTTTATAAAATCTTACTGGCTGTG